ACTTCAACAGCACTCCTTTCTCCTTCTACAAATGCCATCCCATCCGTGGATTTCCGTACTTGGAGTACCCATAAAAAATTCCACAGCGAGTACACTTTAGGGAGGCCTTAGCTGCAACAGACCGTCCAGTCACTTTATATACTCCGCGTCCACAGGCGTGTTATGAGCGACTAAAGGGTAACCAAACCTTGCACAACGACTACTTGGGGGTGACAAAGTGTGAACTTTATCACCTTCATGTGGAACCGGCCGTTTCTCTGGAGATAACCGGGCGAGGCAGGTAAAAAGGTGATCCACGTCATCTTGGAGGGCATTGGGGAACAACAGTTTAAATACCTGGCGACGGAAATCGGAAGGAAGGACACTCCATAGCACCCGCCACAGAAGAAACAAATGCCATCCCAAACTTTAAAAGCAAACCAAAAATTATAACATCTTCAGAGACGTTATCCAAGAAGTGAAGATCAATTTTGGAAATGTCTGCAATGATCTTCCATGAAAAAGTTTCTTGTTGTACTTCGTTCTCTACTTCCTGTCGCAAGGAATCAATCAAAAAGCCAGAACAATTTCGCCGCTTCACCATTTTCAATTCAGATGAATGAGTAAAGTCCAGTCCAAGTCCAGTCTGTAACGCTTGCAACAAACGAGATCAAAACTTTGAGGGGTGATAGACGATAACGCCGGATTGTAAACTGAAATAACAATGCAAGGAATTCCTATCAATTTACTTGAAATGTTGTATAACTCATGATCAAAAATGCTTAGCTAAAGCAATTAACCTGCCTCCGTCCATAACGCGATCAAAATAACAATAATCAATGGGAATTCACGAAAATCATAATAATCTACATCAAAATAACTCGATATTTCAAAATCGATAACAAGATTAACAAAATGGGCATTCCTAGCTTAGCGTCTCTTTCTTTGATTCACCCTCTTAGGTTAAAAACAATAAAGTACTATTGTATGACTTTGTACGTTAGCGTGCTTCCATCCAAAATAAGAAATTAAACAAAGGAAGAAACTAGCAAAATTACTCACATATCGGTACCGCTTTAACTAAAGGTTCAGAACCAAAATCAGTGAGTAGAACAAATAGGCAATTGGCAAATGGACAAGGTGAAATACAATCATACACTAGCTAAAGGAACGCTAACGAGGCTTTTATACGAGTTTGACTAATAGTCATGGGTCGTGGGTACAAGTCGTGGGTGTGGGTGTGGGTAAAGTCGTGGGTGTGGGTGTGGGTAAAAGTCGTGGGTGTGGGTACTACATAACAATTAATGGTTAAGAGCTCATATTTAATAATGTTAATAGTACCACTACTAATAATCAATTACTGTTATTTTTGTAGGGGAAAAGGGTTTTTTCGTGATCATGAAGGGCCCTTTGGCTGGTTTTAAATGTGATTTGGTTATATCGCCGTAAACGTTGAATCGCCTTTTCTGCATGGAAATTGCGAAATGACTGGCTTTTTTCACGAAACATGACTTCAACCGTTGTTATTCTTCTTTTCCAAAAATTTGTTCTGTAAGCGTTTCAAAACAAGATGTGAAACATGACTGTCATTAGCTACCGTGAAGTAATGCAATACTTCTCGACAAACAATGAAACGTATGTTTCTTGAGTACGTCACATTTCGCAACTCTGCAGAGTCTGGTCTTTGTCAGATAAGAAATGAATCGTTTAAAAATTGAAATTATTAGAACCTCTTTCTTTATTAATTTACTTATTTCAATAATTCTTCATATCTAGTTACTTTATGATTTAGAAAAAGACCTGGCCAGTTAAATGGATGAAGAAAAAATAAGATTGTACTAACTGGTTCTTCGTTTAATTTCTTGTCACCGATGCCAGTTGTCATCACCAATTTAACATTGGCTTGTGATTTCCGGTTGTCAATTCTACAGCACACTGGATACCAGAGGTTTAATATTTTTTGTCCCTTGGAAAAACCTTGGAGCCAACATCTCCAGACCTGCAACTAACGTTGCAACGTTGCTATCTGTATATCAGCTTATCTTGCAACAGTTTGCTGTTTCACTTCATTTTTTTTCTTAGATATGGGGTAGATGGTACGCGATACGAAGAAGCATTCGGCTCTTTGTCTGAATGTCATTGATCAACACAAGCTTTATTTTCCCTAACCAGCAGAGGGATATACTTTTACTTTTGAAACTTCATTTAATTTTAACCGGCACTGAGAGCACAATTTAATTTTAATTCATGAACATGGCCATTAGCCATGTTTCTGATCCTCGAAGCTTCTTTCATGTTCTGAAAACGTTGTTCTTTTAAGTTTAACACTTCTCTCTTTTCAGTGTAATATTATTTTCTTGTGTGTTGATCCAAGTGTTTGACCTGAACAAAACTCCTCAAACTCTTTGGAATGACCCTCATTTTAAGAGATTACATCATCCTGCAAACAATGGCTTTGTCTTTGGTTTCACTTTTCGTTTTGAGTGAAATCATAGTTAAAAGAGGGGTCCCCTCTACTAACTATAGTGAAATGAATTAATCTGTTGGATGAAATCAATGAAATATTAGGCTCCCTAAACCGAGCTGATACAATGACAAGGGTTGTATAATATTTATGTATTATTATAACTAATATTTTAAATGATTATTGTTATTGTTAAGTATTAATCACACCCACGACTTTTACCCACACCCACGACCCACGACTTGTACCCACGACCCACGACCATTAGTCAAACTCTTATACGCGCGTGGGGAAGCTAAAATATCTGATTACACACCAATAGAAAATAGACAACAACGTAACCACATCCGTAACTAAAATAATTCGTAACAAAGAAATCAAATTCGATCAAATTCGACTTAGGCTAAATTAATCGTTTGAGTATCCTTAATAGTCTGATGAATGAGTCAAGCCCAGTCAATCGTTTGAGTATCCTTAACAGTCTGACGAATGAGTCAAGCCCAGTCTACCCTCTGTTGTGACGGCTGTGACGGCGTCACACGATTAAAAAACGAAATCGTAACCACACGCTAAAGAACGAAATCGTACAGAATATATTGGGCATCAGATGCCATTTTTACAACCCTTGACCAAACTTTCACTAATGGTACTACAATATGTTAACATTAATGCTGGTGACACTAAGAATAACTAATGTAGTTTACAAGCATAGTACATTGTACGGACCATGAACTAGTTCTTACCTTGCTCTGAAGGTTCAACTTGTTTTGATATCATTGACCTCATGCATGGTGGTGTGATCCCTGCACCAAGGGCAATCAATCCACCTACAAAGAAATCATGTAAACCTTCACAACCTTACAGCTGTATGTTTTCTCTCCATTATATTCTCTCTATACATTTCATTAAGTGCTGACAATGAGTTGTAACCCCGAAAGGTCACATGTGTAGCGAGGGTCGTAAGCGACGAATTTGGAGACCAGACTATTGTAACGCACAACGTAAACTTTAATTGAAATAGCGTAAAAGCAGCGGCTTGTAGAATAATGGATCGATGACTCGATGTATAGCTTTGCGTAGCGATAAGGTCTTGTCACAGTGACATTTGTTGTGGTTCGAACTAGAAAGCAAAGAAAGGAACCTAAATAGGCCGACGCCTATTTAGGTTCTTAACCTGGGACTTCTTAAGGACTTCTTTTAGGACTTCTTAACCTGGACGCACGTGGCATAGAATCGCGAAACTACACAAGCGCTAAAGATAATCATGCCAATTAAGATAATGAAGCTAACTATAACAATCAAGTAAATAAAATGGCCTACTTTAGTCTGGCTCCTAGCGGCAATAGGTAGCTGATGTGTGGCGGTGAAAAAGAAAGTAGCGTTTGGTGAACAAGCAGCGTTGCAACAATAAACCTCTCCAAGAACTACGTCCCTTACACTATGAAATCCGATCGCAAAACCTGTCACGCAAGTGTGTACAGTTGCGCAAGAAGTGGATCATCAACGAGAACAAGACAGGAATCACAGCTAAACATATACAAACGAACTATTATGGTATGAAAGTAATATGAGTTTCTGTTTAACAATCTAAGCTTTTTTAGTTGGTCATTTTTTCGGCTAAACTTCAGAATACCCGGCCACTCATTTACATGTCATTGAATGAGAATAGCAGCTATTGTGTTATGCCTCATTCTTCAAAGCCTCCCGACACATGTAAATGATGTGGACGGCTATTCAGAAGTTGCTCCTTTTTCATGTATTCTCCTGACCTTAATCTGTGATTTGGAATGATAATGTGAAGAGATATTAGACGCTGAGTAACTCTTGGGGGGGGGGGGGGGAGGAGGGGTGAATACCTACATGTTCACCAGTAACCTCAAGGTGTTTGACAATAACACACTTAGTCCATAAAGTTATACTAACCAACAAACATCATTCATTTGCTAGATGCAAATCCAAGAAAAACATTTTGTCCAATGGATATTACTGAACCAACAATAGCAATGGTACTGAAGATCTAACCATTTGAGAATCTTTGTCATCAGTGGTATCCCTAAAATAACACCCATTCCTTTGATAAACAAAACTTCAGCAAAGAAGTAACCAACCAGTTCAGGAGTGAAGTTCCTTGGGCTGTACGTGCTTGCTGTACAAGACTGAGATATCACTGAAGCCAACAGAATATGAAAGAAAGGAGCTGAAGTTAGGAACATTTTATACAATATGTGAGCAATATGTAAGTGGAGGGGGGAACTCTCCCTCAATAAGACACTAATGGAACACAGGTCTCCAGGAGCTTTCAATGTTATCATTAAAGTTGAAAGGCTAGAACATCTATGGATGGAAGGATGGAGAAATCAAATTAATTCTAGAGGAATGAACATGTTGTGGGTCATTGTGGGTCGTTCAGGGTTTTAGTAACTACCATGGTTTTATGCCATTGTGCAAACCCAAGACTATAATTCTGATATACAGTTTATTGTTCTAAGCATTCCAATGTCATTCTCATTTTGCTGATAAATAATAACAAAAACATCAGTAACTCACTTATAAGAGCTAAAGCCAACATTCCAAACATGATAACCAGCAAAGTTAGTCTTCGGTGTTGAGGTCGTTCTTTAGTTCAGACTTTGAATGATGCCTTGATGTGATTGTGTACTGCTACCAAAGCCCAGTTTTCTTGCTGATTTGAATCAGGAAAGTAAGACTCAGGAAGAATGAGACCGACGTAAGCTATTATCAGAACATTTAAGCCTAAGCACAGACCAAAGGCCGCCATGTAGCCACCATGCTCTACAAGAACTCCCCCAATAAGGTTACAGACAGTACCTCCCGAGAAAATCATGGATTCCAACACAGCTACTCTCGTCGTATGCTGGGATTCATCAGTTATATCAGATTTGTACGAGAAGACACCAAGAAATGCTGTGGCGAATCCACCAAAGAAACCCGAGATGCACGACTCAATAAGTAGGCAATCAACATTCAGTGAGAAAAAACCCACATTCAGCATGTAATTAATGTAAAGCAGAACACTCCCAATGGACGGTAGAATGAGCACAGTCTTACCGCCGACTTTACCTGACCAGGAACTGAGGATCAGAGAGACTGCAATGGAAGGAAGCATCGAAGACACAGACTGATATAAAATCCATTTCGAGGTCTTCTTGTGAACAAAATTTTCCTGTGAGGTGGTGAGGTTACTGCAAGATTCGGTGTCATATTCTGCATTGCATATCTTCTGGAAAGCACGCTGCTGCACAAGGGGGAATGACATAAAAATGCCGGGCATATAAAGAAAAAGCACTGGCTCCACCGTGATATTTTGGAAACTGAGTACGATCGCCAATTTGAGTACCAAGGTAAAACCAATTTTTCTTACATTAATTCTAATCTCTTCGTTACGTTTGCTGATAGAAAACTTTGCAGGCTCAAACTGTTTCTCGCAAAATGGCTGACAATTACAAATAAGGACAATTAAGTGAAATCTGGCCGTTTAAAATTTAAAGGATTGGACGATGGCTCGCGGAAATAGAAGCATAAGAAGAAGATGCGGGAGAGAGAGGAAGAAGATCCAGCAGATGTTGATGCACTCCGTCATGGTGGTTGGAGAAAAGTCGAAAACTTTCATGAAGTTAGTGGTAACATTGCGCTGAAAACTTTCCAGAAATCTTACATCGAGGCGCTTAACACCGGATTGTTTACAGTTGGTGAACTAAGAGATGATAGTGAAAACTCGTAAGCACTAAAACATGGAACTACCTACAACCACCTCAAAAAAATCTACAACCACCTAAATTCTTTCCAAACATGGCAAGATTATCAATCGTTAGCCATTATTATTGTGACAATGACAAATCACGTTTTATATGAAATGCGAGAATATCTTTAAACCACATATTAACCTAGAAAGGTCAACGCTAAGAATTTGCATTGCTTGATGAATTAACGCGGTTGGGGGGACTGCGAGGGAAACATAAAAAAGCTGCCAGTAAACAAATATGCTGAATACTTTTACTTTGTGTGTGTGTGTGTTTTTAGTTTATTTGTTTGTTTGTTTGACTTTTAAATTTTTTTATAAACATGACTACTTTGTACATTGTAACACAAAAACTGAGCTTCATTATTTAATAGTTGTTAATGTAAGTGTATACTAAGTTGACATACATCATTCCCCTTCTTGAACTTAATTTCATTATTTGGTAATAGTTATCTAATATCTGGAACATAAGAATGAATGATGCTGCATAATTATGAAAGAGTCAACAATTTGATATTATTTTGTTCAGGTACCATGGAAAGAACCACTTTTAAAAACATTTTCTCTGTATAAAATGTTAATGATATTTTATTAAATTGAAATACTGCTTTTGCACATGCGGATTGGCTTGTTGGGAAGTGATTAGCCAGTCATTTTACCTCCAAGCAGCCAAAGAGACAAAATTGCACAACATTGATTTCATTTCTGACCATTTTCTGATATTTTGATGGAAACAACCCTATTTTTCTTAGTTTCTGTGTGGTAATTATACTAAAACAATAATTCACCTTAGTGTTGGTGAAAGTGGTGGATACTTATCTCACCAGAAAACAGCTAGGTAAATATACACCACTATTCACCCCCCACATCACTGAATAAGTGCTAAATTCTTTATCCTAGATCGTTCTGCACCCAAGAATTACAAGAGTCTCAGTTATTTTTGTAGCACTTTATATTATGGAGAATTCTACATGAGGGCAAGTACATCTCACTTCTAGATAGAACTACTACCTTCTTGAGGTATTTTAATTTTTGAAAAAACTTTTGTAAGACCAGTTAAAACTGGTCTTACAAAAGTTTCTTCACATTTCTTGCATTGATACAGCTCCAGGAACGTGCAACAATTGTTCGTCACATGAGCACCTGTTCCAAAAGGCTTTTATTTTTTGTGTACAAGGAAAAAATCAGTGTTCACTTTACTGAAATGTGGCTCTAGATTACATCTTTTGCATCCTTGCTTGATCCATACTCTGACTGTATAGAAGACCTTGCAAAAGCCTCCTCGCCATTTGAGAAGCCATCCACATCTGGAGATTGCATTACTGCATAAGGATTGCCTTGTCTCTCTAAAACATACAACCATCTGTCAAATAAAAACAGGGTATAGAAAATTATATTATAATACAAATATTATTTGCCTACCAGTACTTCAACTGTGGCTCGGAAAAATTTAAGTCAACTTAAAGCTTCATGAAGTTCTTTTCCAACTTGAAGAATTTCTGAGTTTGAGTAAATTTCACGAATGAAAATCAATCAAGATTAAACTTAGAATCATCACAGAAGTTTAAAGATGTCATAGAGATAGTTTTTGAACCATGCAAAATGAGTGAGTGTCTGAAGAAAGCTTCACCTTGTTATCTTGAACAACAAAAAATATCAAGTACAGCAGCACTTAGTTACTTACATGAGCAAGATTATGGGAAAAACAGTCATTCCAGACATCAAAAAATAACAAAATCCTGGTAGCCAGTCCACTGTGGCACTGTAAATACTGTTGAAAATTAATGATGCAAGAAGTGTCTCTAACACTTCAAGAGATGCAACAAGAGCAAATGTCGTACCTAAATCAGAGAAAAACAATAAGTTACAATCAAGGGGTTTGCCAAGTTTGCCAACTACAGTCAGAAATTTGTTAGGTGTTAAAATATAGAACTTAAAGCTTTTCTATTAGTCTGATCATGTGGGAGGTGGTAGCCCTCACAGGAACTCTAGTTGGTTACAGACATAAAGATTTGACTTGATGAGTGGAGTTCATCACAAACAAACCATTTCTACAACCCTTGACCAAACTTTCACTATACTGTCAAAGTTTCAGTAAAGTCACATCCACTAACAACTGACACTATTGGTGTTACAATATGCTAACATTAGTGCTGGTGACACCGAGTTTATGTATTACCTTAGTGAGTAAATGGACATAAAGAAAATAATGGTGTATTGAGAATACCTAATGTAATTTATTAACCCGTGTATAATATGCACTTTATTTCTATAAAAATAACCATCAAAATTGCAGTGTGTATTATACGTGGGATTCCATTGTTTGTAAGGCATGTCCTAATTTGCATATGTTAAAAACACAACAAAGAGAGTAATATTTAAAACAGACCGCTCAAGTCTCGTGATTGTGTTGTGAGTCTCACGATTTTGTCGTTCAATCTCACAGTCTCACGATGAAGGAGACAAATCTCACGATAAATAGAGGCCCAAGCTGAAAGGATAAATTTTTTGTATAATTTCATTTATGGCTTGCTAGAGGTGAGTTTTTTGTGCCAATTCTGTGCAAATCCGTAACAAATCAAGCTGTTACGTTCTTCATCCGTCTGTTTGCCGGAAACACCGTGAGTCGTCCATGACCATATGTTGAACACCCGTTCCAAATTAGGTCATCATAACCAGTCTCTCACATTTTGACACAACACATTTTCAAGATGAAAATTTAAAGTTTATTTCTGTGTTGTTAAGGTCCACACATGTTTTAAGTAAATTATGGGAAGAAAAAAAAACACTTTCTCTTAATTTAAGAACCTGTGTTTACTTGTTTTGTCTGCCTGTCGACCAATCTCTAGATTTTTACTGAAATCTCCAGATTTTTGACATCAGTCTCCAGATTTTTGGTGTTTTGAGGTTGAGAGGTCTGTTAAAGCTTTAAGCAAATAGCTTATTTTCAGAGAAGAATTAAAGGTACATATAAATTTTTTACTCTAAAATCAAGAGGAAAGACAAAAATCGCCAAATAATTTCACAAGTGTGCAAACAGGTATGTGGATCAGATTTCAAAGTGATTATGCAAATTTGGCCGTGTGAAGAGATCTCATGTTACATGGAATCTTTCAATGAGAAGTAAGATGAATGTGAGCAAGAAATATTTCAGGACAAAAGCATTATTTAAAGCAGATCTTGATTTGCTGTCATAAGTGAAAAAACATGCAAATTTCTTATGTGTACAAAGCCCACGCAATGGAATTCATTGAGGGTATATTGTTGTTTACTTGACTTAACAGCCTGAAAATTGCATAGTGTTAGGTTGAAAATTCCAAAAATACGACGATTTGCCACTAAATCTTCAATACTTTTCAGACATATTGTTGCTCTCACTTAATATTTACTGGGCCGTGGAATCATCAAATTAGTAAGGCTTCGACTGAAGTCCTAAAGTTTGGTTTCAATAATAACTAAGTAGCAAAAGATATTGGTGTTAATGATATAGTAAATTTCTTATTTTGTTGTCTTAATAAATAACTGTATGAAGATTTAACTTGTCTTTTCTGCTGTGAAAAACTTTTTTTGTGATAAATTTGGTTAAAAACAAAAATGCGCATTAAACATGGCCACGTATTATACACAGGTACATATGGTAGTTTACAAGCATAGTAAATTGTACGGACCATGAACTAGTTCTTACCTTGCTCTGAAGGTTCAACTTGTTTTGATATCATTGACCTCATGCATGGTGGTGTGATCCCTGCACCAATGGCAATCAATCCACCTACAAAGAAATCATGTAAATCTTCACAACCTTACAGCTGTATGTTTTGTCTCCATTACATTCTCTCTATACATTTCATAAGTGTTGACAATGAGTTTCTGTTTAACAATCCAAGCTTCTTTAGTTGGTCATTTTTTCATGTATTCTTCTGACCTTAATCTGTGATTTGGAATGATAATGTGAAGAGATATTAGACGCTGAGTAACTCTTGGGGGGGGGGGGGGTGAATACATGTACATGTTCACCAGTAACCTCAAGGTGTTTGACAATAACACACTTAGTCCATAAAGTTATACTAACCAACAAACATCATCCATTTGTTAGAGGCAAATCCAAGAAAAATATTTTGTCCAATAGATATGACAGAACCAACAATAGCAATGGTAAGATCCGACCATTTGAGAATCTTTGACATCAGTGGTATCCCTAAAATGACACCAATACCTTTGATAAACAAAACCTCAGCAAAGAAGTAACCAACCAGTTCAGGAGTGAAGTTCCTTGGGCTGTGCTTGCTGTACAAGACTGAGATGTCATTGAAGCCACCAAAATCTGGAAGAAAGGAGCTGAAGTTAGGAACATTCTATACAAAATGTGAGCAATATGTAACAGGAGGAGGGAACTCTCCCTTTTATGAGACACTAATGGACCACAGGGGTATTCAGTCGTTTCGTACCCCGGGATCTTTTGTACCCAGATGATTTGTACCCAGGCTCAGACATTTCATACCTATTTTTAATCAGTTTGTACCCAACCCTCTGGTCGATTTGTACCCAAGAAATTATGACACAAAATGTTTAAATCAATCAATCAGAACAAACAATGACATTGAGAGCTGGCATCATAGCCTGAACAGAAGAGCTGCTGGTTGATGCGGTCTGCCCCTCTACACGTTTGTGGCCCTACTGCACAAAGAAGTGAGACTAGTGTTGCTACAAATTCATCTAGTCTCCAAGCGCAAGCTTAAGCAAATACAGAGGTTCACCTATCATGAAGTACAGAGGTGGCTCTTTGAACTTTGGGAAGCCTTCAACAAGAAGGAGAAGTCACTGATAGGTGGCAGCTGCTCACAGGATGTGCCAATATAAACAGGCCAGCGACACACTGAACTGAACTGAACTAAACTGAACTTAGACATTATTTGCATTTACTACGGTAACTACGATTTTTATTTATTACTTAGTAGAATAAGTGCATTTAGTCATAAAGGCGCTCTGTGATAATGGGCAAAATATTTTAGGATAGGTCAGCTAGGGCAACTAGGTCACGCTTTTTCAAGAGTAAGATAACTTTTCAACGTTACTATGATTTAGAAATTAGCTGTTTTACTAAGTAGAATAGGTACGTCTAGTAGTAGGCGCTGCATGGTAGCAGGCAAAATATACTAGGATGGGTCAACTAGGTCACAATTTTTCAAGAGTAATAACTGTTACGTGCACGAATGACCAACAAATGTCCGCTAACAAAGCATATATGAAAATAGACTCCCGAATACGATGTATATATGGCACGCAACAAAAATGTAACAACAAGCAGTTACCCATTTTAACTATTATTTAATTAGTTTTACATTTTCTAATTTACTTAGGTTAAAGATTAAGTTAAGCAGTTCATAAAGCAGGCTTACAATCCTTCATGCCGTGTAAGTGTTCGTCGTCTTGATCAACTTCCAATTCCAACATCCGCCGACTGAAGAACACAGCGCTGGGCTTTCTTGATTTATCGCATTCTTTCCGTGTACACAAACTCTTCCGGAGGACTCCATAGTAAACTCTGTATTCTCTATCTTCTTCCTCTCTCGACTATCGTCTTTTTCATCTCTTTCCTCTCTCCGGATATCGCAAGGTCAAAAGGTCATAGCCTCGTCACATCATAGCTTCCACAACTTCAGTCAGCAAGCCACGAGGGTAAGCCCTCGGGCAAATCTCTTTTGTACTTCTCACAAGCCAGCTTTTATACATTTACTTTAGTTATCTAGAATGTTCTATTACTATTTATAGCGTATTACAAGTTGTACTATTTTTGGAAACTGCTGAGTCACATGAAAGAAGTTTCTGGAATATTACAGATTATAGATAATTCTAGAAAAGTCTGGGATTGCGTGACAGATTCAGTAAAAATAATTCGATCCTCGTAACATAACTAAAAGATTTCTGTGGTTGGAAATTAGCTTTTTTGAGATTACTAACATAAATGAAATAAATGTTTATGTTTGCTTTAAACATTTTGTGTCATAATTTGTTGGGTAGAAATTGACCAGAGGTTTGGGTATGAACTGATTGAAAGTGGGTAAGAAACGTCTGAGCCTGGGTATGAATCGTCTGGGCATGAAAGGTCCATCGGTACGAAATGACTGGTAAGCGAGCACTGGTCATCCAGGAGCTTTCAATGTTACCATTAAAGTTGAAAGGCTAGAACATCTATGGATGGATGGATGGAGAAATCAATTTAATTCTATTAAGAGGAATGAACATAATGGACTTATACAATTGTGCAAGCCCAGGACTATAATTTTGATATACAGTTCACTGTTCTAAGCATTCCAATGTCATGCCCATTTAACAGATAAATAATAACAAAAACATCAGTAACTCACTTATTAGAACAAAAACCAATATTCCAAACATGATAACCAGCAAATTTAGTCTTCGGTGTTGAGGTCGTTTTTTAGTTAAGACTTTGAATGATGCCTTGATGTGATTGTGTACCGCTACCAAAGCCCAGCTTTCTTGCTGATTTGAATCAGGAAAGTAAGACTCAGGAAGAATGAGACCGACGTAAGCTATTATCAGAACATTCAAGCCTAAGCACAGACCAAAGGCCGCCATGTAGCCACCATGCTCTACAAGCACTCCCCCAATAAGGTTACCGACAGTACCTCCCAAGAATATCATGGATTCCAACACAGCTACTCTCGTCGTACGCTGGGATTCATCAGTTATATCAGATATGTACGAGAAGACACCAAGAAGTGTTGTGGCGAATCCGCCAAAGAAACCCGAGATGCACGACCCAATAAGTAGGTAATCAACATTCAGTGAGAAAAAACCCACATTCAGCATGTAATTAATGTAAAGCAGAACACTCCCAATGGACGGTAGAATGAGCACAGTCTTACGGCCGACTTGATCTGACCAGGAACCGAGGATCAGAGAGGCTGCAATGGAAGGAAGCATCGAAGACACAGACTGATATAAAATCCACTTCGAGGTCTTCTTGTGAACAAAATTTTCCTGTGAGGTGGTGAGGTTACCGCAAGATTCGGCGTCATATTCTGCATCGCATATCTTCTGGAAAGCAAGCTGCTGCACAAGGGGGAACGACATAAAAATGCAGAGCATGTATAGAAAAAGCACTGGCTCCACCGTGATATTTCGGAAAAGTACGATCGCCATTTTGATTACCAGGGTATAAACAATTTCTCTTACATTACTTTTAATCTTTCTTGGTTACGTGTGCTGATAGAAAACTTCGCAGGCTCAAACTATTTCTCTCAAAATGGCTGACAATTACAAACAAGTGAAATCTGGCCGTTTAAAACTTAAAGGATTGGACGATGGCTCGCGGAAAAAGAAGCAAAAGAAGAAGAAGCGGGAGAGAGAGGAAGAAGAGCCAACAGATGTTGATGTACTCCGTCATGGTGGTTGGAGAAAAGTGGAAAACTTTCATGAAGTTAGTGGTAACATTGCACTGCAAACTTTCCAGAAATCTTACATCGAGGCGCTTAACACCGGATTGTTTACAGTTGGTGAACTAAGAGATGATGGTGAAAACTCGCCGGCGCCTGTTGAAGTTTTTACTGCTGTTCCACTTTCCGAGAAAAAGATTGCTTTAAAATCGGGCTATGGTAAGAAATGTTTTAACCTGAATGTAAGCTTACTACGTTCATGTTCTAACATGATTTAACATGATACTATTTCAAGTTAGAATACTTTCAGCCTACTTTTATCTCTGTTAAGCTTTTTTTAAGACCCTTGGCTGTTTTACTTTTAAACCAATCTTTCCAATATTTCTTCGTCTTTCGTTGACCAAGTTTAAAGAATATGACCATACATACTAATTAACGTGGCTGATCGATCAGATGTGGAATGATACCTGCAACATTTTTTAGTTTGTCATAGCAATTGTCTTCATCATTTCAAAACATTCATTCTTACAATCTGAATCATGGTAGTCTATTTACCTTTATTACATCTAGTTGATTTTTGTGTGCTCAGGTGTACTTCTTTAATTAGTGTTCAGTGTTGTTCACTTGCATACAGGCCTACATTTAGCATTCAAAGGGTTATATCACACCTGACACCCACATATACACCGAATTGAAATATGGTGTCCAATTTGAATTACCATTGTTCTGGACTTACTGGTCTCGTCTTGACGTGGAAACACAAAAGGATTATCACATGTGTGAGAGGCTAGTAAGTCCAGAACAATGGCAATTCAAATTGGACGCCATATTTCGATTTGGTGTGTTAATTTTGTAAAATAGGTTGTGGTCACTCATTGTGTTGAAGTTGATAGAGAAAAATATTAATTTTTGTCCTGCAACGAAGTCACTTCTAATATATAGCAGAACCAACTCTTAAAGAGACCTAAACAAGCAATGGAAGAGAAGCAGTATTTAAATATTGAATTTGATGAGCTTAAGAATGAGATAGTCTTCAGTTCCGCCATCACTGACAATATTTTGCCATACAGGAAAATATATGGCGGTTGATATGATGGGAAATGTCACTGGAAGATCAGATGCAATTGGCCCTCAGGAACAGTTTGAGTGTTTATTTGAAGAGGACAAAGTTGCTTTTGAAACATACAATGGCTGTTATTTGTCCGTCAATGAAGATGGACAACTCTCTGCAAGCAGAAAAACTGTTGGTGAAAAGGAGACATTTCATGTGCGGACCAGTGTTCCAAAAGTGTAAGTGTTACTATTTCATATCATGACTCATAACTCTTTTAACGCCCAAGATCCAATTTCTAATTCTCACCTAAGCTGCCACTCAGGTTGACCTGAGCTTATTTGGGCAACACATGCCGGAATGAATTTTGCCTTACATTGCCACTACAGGCATATGCCATATAAAAGTTTGATGAGGTTGAAAAAGACTTTGTCAGTAACTTGAAACAAGTGACTTTAGAGTGATGTTAAAAAAACTGGTATTGTTGCTTCTTTTTTAATAGTAAAGTGTGCACCAGCAGCCTACCTGAGGGGGGAAAAGATCTACGGAATCACGAAATAAGTTTTGTAAAGAAATTCCAAAGTTTTCAAGACAGGAATTTGCGTCTAAGTGAGGAAGAGAATAGCAGACTGAAAAGAGCAAGAAACGATGGTAAACTTCATGAAGAAATGTTAAACAGGAGAGAAAAGATGAAAGCAGATAGGTATTGTAAATAAATAGCCAAGGAACTGAAGAGTGAGTATAAGAGACACATTGATCTAATGTCACAGTGTGGGGAATACCTTGTAATTTGACACTTGATATCACAGAACATTATGTAGTCATCTTGCAACCCACTTTAGGCTGCATCATAACTTTTGCAAAATGCTTATGTCATTGATCTAGTGAATTTAGCTATAAAGAAGAGTCACATTTTTATGTAGTTTCATTGGAGCAGTCAAATAGTTAATCAGCCTTCAAAAATACTTGGAATCTGTCATTTTCCCACTTTTTTGTTTTGCTATTTTAATCTGCAAATCCACTTGGATTTTTGCCAGTCCTGACGTTGAGGACTGGCAGAAATCACTTTTCATGATCTAGTGGAATTTAAGTATATGTGTTATTCCTCTGATTGTGTTGAAAAATTGGCAAAATAGGAATGAATTTTGTACAAAAGGCCCTCTAGAGCACTTAAATGACCAGATTATACATGTGAATGACAATTTGACCAACAGTCTTCAAATTCAGTGATCTTTATCACTCCCAAGATCTAATAACCAATGCTCCTTACTGTCTGTCATAATATGTAGTATAATTTAACATTGAGAATTTTTTGTTAAGTAAAACGTTATCCCTATGTTGATACTCTCATCTGAATGACTTCTCTGTTTAAAAGTGTATAGTTATTGTAAGGAAAGAAAACATTCAGGTCACTCTTAGCAGTGGGCTGAAAATGGAACAGCTTCTCAAGGGTTTTTAAGGTATAAATGACATTTGTGTTGATTTAGTGACACACCTGGTGTGAAAATACATGACTGTATATTTTCTCAGGTTTTATGTTTAACATGTGTCGCATGCTGACGTGGTTAAGACTTGACATTCTTTTTGGTGGTATATTTTTATGGCCCTCTTCATCCTGAGTTCCAAAATTTACGTCTCCCCCCTGTTCACTTTATATTCAATTTTTTGAATGTCATTTCCAAAAACTGAGAAACATTTTTTCAAGATCTTGCAGAACTGGACACTTTTAACTGGTTAAGTCTGTCAGGGTTTTACTGCTTTTGTTGTTTAGAGAATGTGCTAAATTCTGGGTCTAGCCCTGTTGAAGAAATGAAATGCCTTTATTATTCTGTTTGAGAGGTGTCCTTGTTCCAAAATAGACTATTTTCTTGTTGGTATAAACAATTTTCCTTTTAGAACGAATTATATTCCCCTTAATCAGATCCACAAAGAGAAAGAAAAGAAAAGGTGTGGTAAATGGCATCAAATTTTTTAATTCAATTCTTAGAAAATTAATTTTTTCCAAAATAGTTTTCAGCATCACACACAATTAAAAAAATTTAAAATCTTCTTACAAAATGATTGTCTTTGTAAAGCTACTCTTAATCTGTCCTTGCAAAGTCAGACATTGACCTTAATTATCATCTTTCAGAACCAACCCATTACCCTATCCCTCATCTCTTTATCCATCCTTGAAAAGATCACTGTTCAGTGCTTTAACATTACATTCATTATGGTTAATTAATGCTTACGATAACACCATATGCTAATTGCCCATTAGAGATCACCCAAAATCCTCAGAAGGCTTGGTGCTTTGTTTTAGGGATATCAAAGGTGCAAACAAGTCTGAAAATGAAACAATTTTAGGTATGAAAGTTCCTTGGGTATTGTCACGCGATCAGTAATGGGACAGGAAAACAACAGGGGAAAAAATACTCTTCTTTCACACCGCACGAATGGTGGGTCCCATAAGTATTACACCTTGTGAGCAGTAATTTGTTAAGTGAGGATTTTAAGGGATAAGTCTTGCTAACAATGTATTAAGAGCCCAGGCTCTTTTCTTAACTCTCATTCTTTTCAACAACAGTGAAGCGTTGATGGCTTTACACCTGTTTCCCTTTAGGTTGGCAAATAGTCAGTAATAATATTAATTGTACTTACATGTGCAACCTTCCTTTAGTTTGCATCATTTTCTCATGTTCTAAGTGCCTAAAATTCAGGCGATACACTATAAATAAAGTACTATCAAAATCCAGTTTTGAACTCTTCGATTCCTCAGCATCAATGAAAACTAGGTGACCAATGTCTTTTTGTTAGATCCCAAACTCTAGCTACATAGGTGTTGAGACACCCAAGACCGACCCTCGATCTTTTTTTGAGGCAAAACCAATTCGTTTTGACGCATCTGACTAATCACTGCGGTAAATGGTTTGACTGGACTACACTATTACATAAGTAATCGGTGTTACTATTTCTTACAGCCCCATCTTCTCAATGTATAGTCTTAATTGTCAGTGGTTGTGTTTCAAATGTCACACCCGTGCAAAATTATCGTTAACAAAGTCATTTATTTTCTGAACCAGTGACTCACAAATTTCTAATGCGTCTTGTGCTTGATCGCTCGTAAAAGCTTCTGCAGGAATCGTGTCGCCCCGATGAAAATGAGGATATCTAGTTTGCTCGTAGTAATTCTTGAGCTTAGCAGCCAGGAGGGCAATATCATCAGGAGATCCATCCAACTCAGTAATCTCATATGCAAGATTCAGTACATCGTGTGTTTCTAGTTGTTTCTCAGATATGCCGCAAGCTGCATACAAGGCACCTTTGAAAACTTTTTCCGTAGCTTGTTGACATAAAAAGCAAACCAACGCAGGGAATTTCGTTTGTTGACTTTCTAGATGTTTTGCAGCGTTCAGGTCTTCTTTGGCTTGTTTCATCCACCGCTTGGCCTCGTTCTTCTGAGGGTTTGTAGACCTCTTGGAATAAGGAGTTCCTTGATGATTTTGTCGTTTAAACGTGTCATAAGTTTGCCTCTCTTGCCGAGCACGCTGGTTCCACTGGTTGAAGAAATCGTGAAAATTGCTTGCTCCATCTTGCGTTCCTTTCTCTTTGGCATCTCGCAGATTGTCTCTCCAATTCGAAGGAAATAGCTTTTCCATTCTCTCTATTTCGTTCAGCAGGAATTGCATCACATCATTGGCAATGTCAGAGCCTATATTTTTGTCCGGGTGCCATCGGAGAAACAAACGCTTAATGACTTTCCTTCTCTCATTTTCAGGTAGCTTCCAAGCCTCCCACAGGGTATCCTTGATTTCTTGTTTCGCCTTTTCAAGGCGTTCATTTCGACTCGCTGCCCGGCGCTCTGATTCCTTGGGGTCTCCGGTGAAAATTGATACTTCACGAGAATCCGAGAGCTCGGGTTCTGCATTTGGAACTTCAGCGTTAGATCGATCAAATTTGTAAAGATCAAGTACGCTTACTTCTACGAGGCGAGGCTCTCCAATATCAACGCGATATTTGGCCTTGAAGTCAAATCTGCTGGTTCCCATGGATCTTTTACGATTTGGCACTTTCCTCACCACCTTGGCGTACACGTAAAGAGGCTCAGAGTCATCAATTTGACCATCTTCAGTTCTACGTTCTTTCTCGTAGCCAACTATTTCACCTTGCCGAAAAAAGTATTCGATGTCTTGCCTGAGCAGGTAGTGATACATCACCGGAATCTCAGATCCTAGAACGGGCTCCGTAGTGCGCGCCTCACTTCCCATGAGATCTTGCGCTACACCGCATCTGTCGAGTGAAGGTAGGATCTCCTCTGGTACCCTACATGCAAGCATTGCCTGAAGATAGATCTCCTTCTCTATTTGATTATGTATCAAACGATTTACTTGAAAGCAAAGTTGGATGTGGAGGGGATTTTCGTCTGTGCCATGCCTAATGAACAATTCCCATTCGCCATTCTGTTCTTCTAAGAAACAGTCTTGGGTTTCTTGGCTGTGTTGTAATGGTTTGCCAGATTCCAGGTGAATCAGATGAGTGTCAAGTGATGCCATGCAAGTTACATTGAGCGAGCTACAAAGGACTTGTACTTGATCTTTGACATCTTGAGGCAAATTCGGTGTCTGTCTTTGATGACGGATCACACGTAAAATTCCGTTCACTAACTTCGGAGAGAGCAAAACGTTCCGATATCTGTTCACAAATGGACAGGGATCTGATCCAATAGTACTGTCTGCTATGCATTGCTTATCTCTACAGGTAGGATGTATCTCCTCCCGCAGTAAATTCTGAATAGTCTTTGCCCTAAGACGCAATGGCAGAAGACCGAGAAGGTAAGAGAGGCGGTCTGCAGTGAGTTCTCCTTCCCGACTGATGTCCACAAAGTCACCGGCAAAGTCTCGTGCACGACGTTCAAAGCTGGGACAATCGTGAAAGATCAGTTCATTTGATGGCTTGAGAAAACCTTCTTTGCTAGGTAAAAATAGTTGATTCAACGAAAAAAGGCATTTTGTTGCAGCCTCTTCGCTTTTTTCCTTCACTAACTGTGATAGGGTGGTGAAAAATCCACGTGTAGCTTCTCTAGCCACCTTTTTCTCATTGGGCTCCATATGCTTATCCTCACACACCTCCTTTAGTCTCCCGAGGACGTCTGCAAATTGCGATGGTGTTGGTTTTTCATTTGCTCCAAGTCTCTTAAGTACATGCTCAAAATGGCCGTACTCTCGCGGTACTTTATAAAAGTAAGGTGGCATCTCTGTTGTCGTCTCAAACGCCAATTGATTGCCTTCCACAAAAACGCGACCTTCCTCAACGGGTATGCAAGGTGTTTTCTTGAGAATGCTACCAATGGCTAGGCAAGACTTAGTACACTTGTCTGACAAAGTGTTACTGGGACAATTACAATCACCTTTCAAGAAAGTAAACGTCTCGTATATGACATCATGAAGAAGCTCCCTTTGGTCTTTTGGGGTGTCTTTATGGACATTTCCGCTGTGTGCTTTTGTTAGAAGAGTGATGTGATTGATAACTTTGTCCAGTGGGGGAAGAAGTGCGACTCCGAGGTCTTCCAAAACTTGTTTCTCGGCGGAATTAGGAGTGGCCCAGGCTGGAAGGAGGGCAATGGAGGTCCAGGAAATTTTCTGTTGTTCGCATGGTAAAGCTCCGTGGAACTCAGTAAAAGGAGGAATGTCTTCCTTACTTTTACACGCATATTGAGGCTGTAAGTTTGTTAGTTGTTTAGATGCAGTTTCTGCTGCGACAAACTTTATGCTGGATACGACATGTAGAAAGCTTGGGTCGTGCAGGTCATCCTGTTGAAACAGACACGTAACCAATGTTTTAGATACATCCCTCAACTGAGTATCTTGGAACCCAGTCATTGCATCAGAAGCTAGGGATTCTGCAAACTGGATAAATTGTTGTTGGGAAACACGGTACTTGAGTCCTACTTGACGAAGGAACGGGAGCCAACTTAGAAGGCTGTAATTTCCTGGTGGAAAATCACCGGGAGAGAGCAACTCTCTGAAGACTGGATTCTCAGGATCATAAAAATTGCTTACAGGGACAAGTGTGTCGCTTTTGTCTGGAAAAATACGTGCTTCACACAAAGCATCGATTAAAATGCTCCTCTCAGTGGAACTCTTTAAGGTAACGAAGAGAGTATCTTTGATGTAGAGCAGCACTTCCTGAAGGCCTCTCTCCGACATTGCATCAAAGTTTGGCAATATGTATTTGACGAATACGTCTACTTGTGACAGCTGGCTGATGTCAAGAGCCTTGTACAAAGGTTCTATTTCTTGAATCGCTTCTAATAGTACACAACTTTCGTTTTCAATGCGCGCTTCGATGTCAGCTAGGGATACACACTGAGGCAGATCGACAACATACGAGAAGGCATAAGAATCGAGACTCACAAACTTCCCATTCAAAGTTTTGTAGAGCGGCAGCTTTCTCATTAGTGATTGATTACTGTAGACGGTAGTGACATCTTCTTGCAAAAAACGTAGAAGTGTAACGATTTCGCCTTGACCGAGTTCGCATTTGAAGTCATCACCTTTAGATAGGTAATGTATAACGCTGATAACATCTTGTCTCGAGTATGGTTTCGCCAGGTGCGGGGATACAATAAGTGAAGCCTCATCCTTGTTGACTTTTGGAAGAACTGAAAAATCCAGTTGAGCACTTCCAATCTTGCACAAAATTCTCACCAACCTGTCTTCATCGTAAATACGTGTACTCAAATCCAACACAGTTTTGCCAAGGGACAGAGGAGCAAGGGTGCCAGTAGAAGTAGGAATAATCGGCCAGTCTTCAAATGGTTGAAGAGTTTCGGATGGGTCCTCTTTGTCTTCAAAGCTTGACTGCCTTTCTTGGTATGTGGTTATGATCAATTCCCAAAGCATTGTCAACCACTCGACTGATGGTGTACAAACGTCAGTTGGTTCCCATGGGACATGTTTGTCGCCTGCGAACCATTTTGATGGAAGCAGTTGAATCAAATATGGAGCAATCGATATCGTGTCGAAACGTTTGAACACTTCGGACTTCCAAATTTCATTTCTGGTAAATTTTGAAAACAGCGGGATGAATTCTTTATGGATAAAAATGTCTTTCTGAGAAGAGAGCAGACTGGAAAATGGAGTGAGGAAAACTGGATTTCTGGAATCAAATTCTCTGAGTACTTCATCTTCAGTAAGCAGAAGGGGCATCCCATTTAACCGTTGGAGAAAGTTGTCATCCCTCATGCAATACTCGATCAGTAGCTTAAATTTACTCACTTGTTTGAAGGTGGTATTGTCAATATAGCAAGGGAGCACACCTGTGTTATGCCTAGGCTTCGAGATAATGGCCATGACATCCTCGGGACTAACGGTTTTTACCATCGCAGCGGCTCGTTTGAAACTGGTGTAGAGGTTTTGTGGCGCGTGAACTATCGGCACACCTATTTTTAGGAGTAGTGTTTCCAGTTCTGGGTTGGAAAGATCGCTGAATAGTGCTTGCTGCTCGTCTCTGTCGCTACAAGGGGGAACCCACAAGCAGGGAAAAAGTGGCTTTGTGCCTAACTTCAAAAAGTTCCGAGGAGAGGTCGCAGGCGGTCTGGGCAAGGATTCGTCACGTAAGATGGGTAATACAGGTTGATTGAAACTCGCCAGAAGTCTGAACACTGTTGAAACAATGCTTTTCCATTCTGAGTGAACATCATCTGAATCCGGAAAGATGCTGTGATACCATTTCAAACCATCCTTAGCCTCTGTGATATCGTTGAAGTACCATGGGTCTCCTTGTGAGATTCCAGGTATGTATGTTCTAGCACTAACGATAAGTTCAGCATAGGCAGGAGCTAAAACATTCCTTTTGATGAAATTGTTCCACTGAGTTCTCGCTCCTTGCACTCCATCGTCTTTCCAAAGATTTCGTCTTGAATTATCAAGTATAAATTGGCCGTTAATGTGAACTGGAAGACCTGTCTCAACTGGCAAAGGTAGGAAGCAAAATGCACGATGAATTTTGTTGTTTTGGCTTGAATTTTGTAAGCTGTAGGAACGTCCTCGTCGCGGCGAGAGACTGTCTGTTGTGGTCACGCATGCTGCCACAGCTGCTCGAGGAAGAAGACCATTCTTGCTTCCTTCGGGAATTAATTGCTTGTCAACATGCAAACGAGAACCAAGGCATTGATGAATGAGCCAATTATCTCGTCTTCCCAGTGTGTCTTGAGTGGTTTTGATGTAGGTAATTCCAAACCATGGAATACAGCTGGTATTCAGTTCTAAGCTCCGCATGATTTCTACGTCGAGAGCTTGGATTTTCGGGATGTCAGAGTTTGAAATTGTTGCAGAAGCCTCGTATCGCCTAACTAACTTGTTGTTTTCTATCCTTGAAATGCTTACTCTAGTGACATTTCGAAGGAAGAGTAACGTGTCTCGGATCTCGCTTTCAAAAATGGTAAGCAGTTGATCAATTTCGGAATTGCTAAAAGCCTTGGAGGAAATTTCTGACTGTTTAGAGGACGCATCATTTCTTACTGGCAGACGAAACATAGTAGATCCTTTCAGATGAAAGAACTCCTCTAAATAACAGGGTCTCACGTCAGCAAAGTGTACCCAAAATTCGTCATCAAGGGGATCAAATCGACGTCCCGGAAAGTCCAGTGTTGCATCGGGCGCATATCGGGCGTGCGGGTCGAGGACGCACAATGTTTCGGCGTTTGTAATGAAACTCGGGCAATCGGTTAAATGGTATACTGCATTAAAACCGATACCATATTTTCCTGCCTTCTCAAGGCTGTCAGTCTTGCTTCCTATACCAAGCTTTTGTATCCCCTCAAAGTCTTTTTCCGTGAAAGGACAGTCATTGTAGACACAAAGTGCTGGTCCTTGGAGGTCTTTCCATTGTTCCGACAAAATACGAGTAGTACCATGTTGACGCGGATCATGTATAAAATGAACTTCTGTGGCCCCTGCATCATCTGCATTTTGAATAATCTCTTTCAGAATTCCAAAATCACACGGATAAGCTTCCAGTACCCCTTTCAGTCGATCTGTAAGGCGTTCACTCTGACCAAAGGGCTTTCCTATTCGGTGAGAATACTTGTCTAGTTTTTGTCCTCGCATAGTTTGAGCTCCTAACCTGTGGGCTAACACTACGGAAATATCACTGTGAATACATTTCGTCCACCCAAAGGAGTCAATCCAAGGTGTGTCGTTGATTGTTAGTTCTCCTACAGGCGTAAGCACTAAATTCACATTTGGTAAGGGCAGCTGACCGCAATAGGAACTCAGAGCATCATCATCCATTGAGGCAATATCCTCCAGGAACGATTTTACAGTCCTAAACTCTTGAACCGTGAGAGGTTCGCCATCTTTTCTCTCGGCGAGAACGAATAGTGCATCAACCATATCTTCACCGGAAAACGATTCTCTGACTCCAAGTGCTTTAAAGAGATCTTTGAATTTCATGGTATAGTCGTCGGGAAGGCAATAAAGAAAAGGGTCTCCATGACTTTTCCAGGAAAAGGCAACCTGATCAGCAGTTACAAATTTGCTTTCCACAAATATCCACGGCTTTCCATGGAGAAGATTTTTAATAACTTGCTTGTCTGAGGTGTTTATTCTCTCTTGTAGGAAGTGGTAAACAGCAGTAGAAACCCTCCTGACACATTCTCTGCTGGCTGCATCATGCGCAACGAGACCTTCTACAGCGGAGTAGAGTTGCAGAAGGACATCATTGACGGTCAGGCGTTGATCACCAAGCCTTAATAGCTTAGAGACATCTTTGCTTACACGGTCACATCCGGTATCTGGAGATTCGTCTAAGAGTGGGAGTACCGCTCCTAGTAAATATGTGGAGTCCTCACGTCGTAGCTCTTTGGCTGAAAACAATCTTTTCGCACTTTCTTCTGATCCCTTCCACGGCAGGTAATACCCTGTTGGTCTATCCATAGCTGGAAGAAAGCAAATTTCTGACAATTGTTTCCTTTGTGGAGTTCCTGGTGGAGATAGCTTACTCAAGTTGTCATTCAAATATTTAATTAAGTTCCTCGACATCGGCAGAGCTTTTTCATAATTAACAGTGGCTAACGTTGCAATGAACGTGACCCTCTCACAGATTCGTTTCCATGGTAATAAAGCTTCTACCATCCCTAGCTTTCTCAAGGCAACGAGTCGCTCTGCTCTCAGAAAACCTGAGCCAGTTGGAAATATGTGCTCTTCCTCAAGATATAAGCTGCTAGCAGCTCCTGTAGGATCAATCAACTCATCAGGCCGAGACCTATGGCAACCATCCGGTGATGTTGGGATACATCGATATCCTCGCAAGATTTTCTCGTACTTGTACGATCCCCGAAGGTATTCATCCATAACATGACATATTATCGGATCTTTTAGATTACTCGGCAATCTTTCACTTGTCGGAAAAAAGATGTCGCAAACAAATTTGTCCATGGTTACAGTTTGTGCCGCAATTTTTGTGACGCTTCTTTCAAAGCCGTTTGAAGCGAATTTTGGCAGTTGAACCACGTTGAAGCCGCATGAGCACATTATGGGATAACTCTCCGGTAACTGTGAGACATCCTCTTCTAAAAAGACGCTATCCTTGAACGATACCCATTGTGATTGACTCCTCAAAAGAGTTCCTGTACCATTGGCTATATTCTGATAAACAGTGTAGGCAAACGTTACCCAAGTCTTGGAAGAGGCTTTCTCTGGGTTCGGCCAAAGAACGTCGTATGGAAATTCTTCTATCTTTCCCTGTCCATGTAGACTGACAATTTCAACCAAAAGTCGAACGTAAGCCTTTGAAGCGGCATCTTCAAGGAGACTTTGGTTCCAAAGTACTTCAATCGGTTTTCTTGAGGGTGGACTCTCTTTGGTATCTTCCCATAAACTACGGCGATTTGTCGTCACGGCAAAGTAGCCGTTCACGTGAACTGGAAAACCTGTCTCTGCTCCCAGAGGTAGACCAAGGAATACTTCTCCCGCTGTCTTCGTAGGGCGCCATCGCTTAGCTTTATCGTTGTCTGATAGTAGAGCAGCGACTTCAGCTTTAGGTAACAAGCCATTTAGTTTTCCATCTTCAGTGTTGGCCATCTCGCGCGCTTTTCTTTCACCGTAACATGACGTAACCAACCAAACTTCAGTGTTTCGTTGATTTCTTGAGAATGGCAAAGAACTATTTGGGAAGGCTTGAAATTTTATGAACACTATTTTAGAGGAGTCGACAAGGTGTTCGACTCTTTGCTGTTCAAAGACCCAACTGCCATTAAGATCGCTTTCCCGGATTCCTTGGTTATTATTTTTCTCTGATGTCAGCCTGTCTGATAGCGTACCTGTCGACGGTAACAACAATATGTCCTTTTCCACCTCAAACACTGCATTTGGTAAGGATGGGTTCTGATCAGATGTTATTTGAAAGAAACTTATCTTGCACACATTCTGTAGAAAAAGCAACATTTTTGATGCGTTTTCCTGGAATGCTGAAATCAACTGGGTAAACTGCTGCTCGTCATAGAATTTATTGCAAATCTCGCTGTCGCTGGCCTGTCTCATGGTTCTTAAAGGAAACCTGAATAGAGTTCCGTCATAGAAAAATGACCGTCCATTCTTATCAATTGTGCATCCAAAGACTCCTTGGTAAGGCTTGAACTGATCAGAGAACGCGCTCAATGCCACTGCATTACTCCTAAGATTCAAACGAATGCCGGGACGAGATTTGTCCTTAATGAGGTCTCCTAAATGAGTTGTTTGTGGGTCAAAAAAGGCAATGAACTCGCGGCTGATGAAACTTGGAAGGTCAGTTATATTGTAAGCAGTACAAAATCCAATTCCGAAACGGCCTAGCTTTTCTTTATTTTCTATCTTGGTACCTCCTGCCAGTTTGTTAATATTCTCGAAGTCTTTATCTGTAAAGAGGGCGTCGTTGCAAATCCACAGGGCTGGCCCTTGCATCTCAGCCAATCCAGGTGCCAGTAGCTTCTCTGCACTGTTGTACCTCCAGTCAAGAAGGAACTTGACCTCTGTTGCTCCTGCATCGTCTGCGTTCTGAATCAATTCTTTGAAAGTCGCCATGTCGTCGTTGTGATCCTTCAGGATATTTCTTAATCTTGTTGTTACTGGTTCATACGGTCCACTCTGCTGAAATCCAAGCGGTTCCGTAACTGCTAATTTCCTACTTAAAGGAGGTGTTCCAAGAAGCCGAGCAGTTTCACTGGAAATGGTTTTGTGCACCATGAAGGTAACGTCGGAAATACTGGTATCGCTGTTTCCTAGTCTCAACCACTCTGCATCGCAATAGCTCACATCAGCGGATGGCTGAAGAATGAGTCTATCTTCCTCGGCTTGGATGGGTACTAAAACTCTCTTACGAATGTCAGGGGAAAGGCGTGATCCGTCCTTTGTTAAAAAGTCCAGAATGTCACGAGACAGGTGGAGATCGCGTTTCACTTCCTCTATGGGTCGTTTCTTCTCCAGGTGCCAATCTCGAATCATGTGGAGGACCTCTAGGGCTGATGTAGCATTGAAGATGTCTAAAACACCACAACGTTTGAAAAAGGAAGAGTAACCTTGGAAATCTTCAGATAAGACAAATATGTAGGGTCTTAAATCCAAGGCACACTCGCTTCTCATAGCAACGCTGCTGGATTTAGCAAACCCTGAACCATACCATATCCAGGGCAGAAACGAATGTTCTTTCAGAACTAAGGCTGCTTCAGCTGTTACAATTTCGCTCGACAAATGATTGTAGATGTCTCTCAGCATTCCCTGGAACTTAAGTAGCTCAATTTCAGATGATTTGTGCACTTGTTGCTGCCAAGTAGTTATGGCACCTTTCAGCTGGTCTAGAACGTGGAAAATTGGAGGAGGAAACCACCATCCGAAAGCCTTTTTAAGTTTGTCGTCTAGATTTCCTCGAAGAATCGGCATAGATGAACCAACGATGTTTGCCATGTCTGCATCTCTCATGTCTTTAGGAGAGTAGAGTCTTCTCGCCACGCCGAACCAAGGCATACATTGTGGGTATTTGCTTAGGGGTTCTTTGGACGCAGGCAGCCAGGGTAAGCTTGACAGTATGCTCCCCAAAGGTACTTTCTTTGCGGACCCGGAGCTTTCTTCCAACAAGACCTCGTTCTCAACTAGGTATGCATTATCATTCAGAAACTGAAGCAATGCCTCCGCTCTTCTAAGAGCAAGCTGTTCAGGAGCACCCGTGATTAGCTTTGCTATTAAAAGAATATCTTTGGCTTCTAAGGAACGACTTCGCCGTAGGCCCAAGAACACTCGAAGCAAGCTTAGGGCGTGAGCTTTAGCAAATTCTTGAGCTGGAAATACGTCAGCTTCGCCTTGAAATAGCTTCTGGATGATTTCATCTTCCGGGTCGTATAGCTCAGAAGGCGGTTTGAGGGACCCGTTGGCAACTGGAACAAACGGTACATTCTTGAGATGATCTGGGAAGGTTTTTTTGTCGCTTGATAGTGCGGGAAGTCTCTGTATCACCCAAAACATCAGGTTAGAGACTTCCTCTCTAGTGTAGAATCCTCCACTCTCTATGTAAGGAAATATCTTGTCGACCAAAAAGTCTGAAGTGCTTAGAATTCGAACGGGAAGTCGCCGCAGCAGCTGGTATGAGTCATCGTCAGTGGCAGAAAGTATCTCATGTGAGCAGTGAATCTTTGTGCTCGATGGTAGATGTAGCCGGGGTGGGGCAACATCAAGTTTCGTTCCTGACAAGGGTCCTACTGACTGAACTGCTGTGAACGTAGTCCCATCCATTGTCTGAAAGATTGGCAACGTCATTAAGGCTACTACTTCATCATCAGTAGGATTTCTTAGACTGGACAGGAATGCTCTGAGGGCCGCTTTTTCTTCGATAGTACAGCTGGTAAGACTGTCATTCCCTGGTTCATTCATGACCGTTGCTAATACTTTTAGTACACCTGAGGAAGTTGGCGGCTCGATGTAGTGCTTCAAGGCAGCGTGATCACAGAATGGGGGCAGGTGAGGAAGAACGATGCAACCTGTCTTTTGAAGAGCACTCACCACGTTCCTCGGTAACGACGCGAAATAGGATGAACTCTGAATTAGGCAGTGGTCTTTTTTCAGTTTGATAAGATATCGTTTCTCTGACCTTCCGTCCACCAGAGGGATGAGAGGAATTCCTTCGAAAGGAGTGAGATCTTTGGGAAATTCTGTTTTGAGCCACGACCATAGACCACGGAGCCATAAATCATCAGGTAAGGATTCATCTTTAGGATCCCAAGATACAACTGTGGAACTGATCCTCCAAGGCTCAGGTATGCTTTCGCGAACCAGTTTTGGCACGAGAGAAGGTGAAAGGTTTACCAATTGCGTGGGTCCCGAACGCTTGCTTTCCATTTCCCCTGCCAGAGAACGTAACGTGTCAAGTACACCTCTTTCGATGTTTTCATCCAAGAATCTCTCATCGCTCCCAGGAATGAGACTTTGTGGGTGGTTTCGAGATGCAATTAATACACAGTCATCTGAGTTATATTCATGAACGTCTGTTTGAAAATCTCTAAATGTGTTATTAGCAAGAGGCAACAGAGAAAGACCAGCCAAGTCCGTGAAGTTACGATCCATCAAAATGAATTCCAAGAGACACAGTTTCTCATTTCTAGTCAGGTGCTGTAAGGACACTTTTTCAAGTCTTTCTGGCAACGTGCGATCATCGTTGTCTGCCCCCTTGAGTTCGTAGATGCTAGAGTTTTCAATGGAAGGACTTCGAGGGGAATGCTTAGTTTTCCCTTCGTTCCCATCATATTTGAAGTATCCTGACGATGATGAATGCACGGAACGATCTCCCCTTAGCACAGCACGTACATATGAGGGCGTAATTTCTTTAGGTCTCCTCACTTGGTGTTCTGCATATTCTTCAACGGCCTTCATCGCCTGCTGCGGAAGGAATATTACTGGTTCATCTGCTTGAAGAAGTATGTCCACTATAACATCACGAACTTCATTACGCACTTTGTTTGGAGAACATTCCATGCGGTCCAAAATTCCCTCTTTTAAAGCAATCCATTTTCCACCAAGAGATGGGGTCCAAAAGACCGCCTGGTCAGCCAGAGCTGCGTAGAAAGGCTTTAGTAGAGCTTTCCACTGGCCTTGAACAGAATCGATATCTGGCCAAACGTTGTCAACTATTGGAAGCAAATCTCCACTAGGGGGTTGCAATCGAGTGAGTGCAACGACCAAGTTAGCATAAGCTGTACTCAAGACTTCGCGGGTGAGACAGATGTTCCATTCTGCTGCTTCATCACTTTGGCTTTCTATACCGGGCCACTTCAGATTTCTACGATTATCCGTAAGGCAATAGGCACCATGGACATGAACAGGAAGACCTGACTTGCATTCGGAGTCGGCGGGTAAGGGAAGGTAGCAAAACACGCGACCATTTGCCCTCTTGGTATTCTCATTAGGTGTATCCAGTGATGCTGCAACGCCGGCCCATGGAACAATGCCAAGAGATGAGGAAAGTTCGGCCAAATGCATGCTTTCGAATCCAACCCTATTTAAGACCAGGAACTTAAATTGTTCTTGAGATTTTTCAGACCTGTTAATCTCTATTACCGTTTCGTAATTCATTTCAAAGGGTTTGGATAAAAAACCAGAAGCCTCTTCGATGAATTTGCGCTTCACTTCCTTAACTGTTTTTCGAAACTCCTCCTTCACTTGAACAGAAAAAATAATCTTCTCCTGCTCAGTCCAGCTGGTCTCGTAAATAGTAACAATTTCTACATTCTTTAGAAAGAGCAAAACTACGGGAGCTTCTTCCATGAATGATTCAAAAAGACTATTAATTTTTCCTGCTGTGTACGGCTTTATCGATATCTTAGATGGCCATTTCCTCAACGGGAGACGAAATAAAGTCCCATCAAAAACTCCAGAGGAGATTTTGCAGCTCAGGACGTCTTCATAAGGCGAAAACTGATCTCGGTACAGATATGTCAAAGGCTCTCGGATATCAAATCTCCTACCAGTTTCTCCAGCCCCAAAATATGTCTCTTGAGGATCAAGGAAGGCAACGTGATGACCACTGACAACACTTGGGAGATCTGAGGGGAAAAAATAATTGCAATCGTTTGCTTACAAAGGAAGTTGGTCTTCGTACTAGGAAATGCGATATGCTTTACAGACAAAAAGCTGAAACCACTTTTATCTCGCCAAGGGTGAGGGAGGCAACAGTGCTGTCACATTATAGGAGCAGCTTAATCGACGATTACTTTTCACCGTTATCGTGATAACTTTGTAGTCAGAATAATATCCGGGGTTTTTGGATTGGTGACAATATAGAAAAATCGAAATAGTAGCAAGTGTTAGCACTGTATTGAAATGTTTTATCTCTCTGAGCTGGACTCTAAGTTGCTCAGACTGTTAGGTCTTGTTTAGGGCCATTGTTATCTCTCTGGCAGTCCTACCTGTCACGTGATATACTGAGTTGAACCCAACCCCAAAGCGACCTGCTGCCACTGGATCCCTTTTCTTAGATCCCAGCATGATGCTCTCAATTCCAGTCCAGTCCTGTTCTTTAAAGAGGGCATTGTTGTAAACGTATAAAGCTGGGCCTTGGAATTTGGACAAACCCACATTGATAAGGGAAGATGTTCCAAACGCATTGTCACGTGAATCAAACAGAAATTTCACTTCAGTAGCACCTGCGTCGTCAGCATTTTGAATCAGTTCCTGGAAGATAACGGAACAAATAATAAATATTTATTTATCAATATTAAAGAAACATATAGAAGGAGCTAATTTGTAATTTGCCATGGGGTCACATCGTCCATATAGTGCGCAAGACTAAAACATGTCCGTTAGACAAGTAATCCTCCCTCTACTTACTATGTCCTGACTCAGTGACGAAGTAATGAGTGTCTTACGTTCGTTTTAGTCTCTTGATAGCCATGTCCTTGAGGTTCGTGTATTATAACCATTATGTTATTATGCTGTGACCTTATTTTATTTTCTATACAGCTGAAGACTAAAATGAACATCGCATACAGACCTCATTTCATGTCATTAGCATACGATCATGATAACATAATTTATGGTCATTTATAATGAGGCCAGATTTCCACAGAGATTTGACGTCTTTACCAAAACGAACATTCAGATACTCTTGTTATCCGCAACACGACTATCCTCATCAATTAATTGTTTCGACTGGACGTCGATTTAAAGGACTGCATGCATTTTTGCTGTTGGCAGCAAGGGTAACTAATTGTCATATCGACACTTATGCTTGAAGTTGTTCGCTGATAAAATGAAATTATTTTGTCTTTCAAAAGTACTTACTTTTAGTATCTGTCCGCCATCGGGATATCCTTCAAGGACTCGTTTAAGAACGACAGTGAGAGACGGTCTTCTTTGACCGTAAGATTGCCCTGTAATCAACAAAATGCGTGACATTCATTGCTCTTTTCAACATGGCGGAGTGATAATTGAGCGTGTCGTCGTATAACGGATGCAAATCATGACGGATCACTGATTTGTTGACTTCTACATTTTGGATTACTAAGGAAGCAGGTATAAAAATCCTTTAAAGGAAACGGGAACTTATTTATAGATCGAGCCTTAAATTAGTTGCGGCTGAAATCGCTCGAGCCGGTAAAGAAAAATTTCCTTGATACTTAAAATGCTAATATAACATTTGGTAAACTGACAGAAGGATACACAACGCTTGCGAGAGGAGTGCTTCTCATATGCAGAGAAGATTTAGTTACTAAAAAAATAAGAAATTCACTTCACTTTTTGTCGACGTCTGGACTTACAAATGAAGATTGAATCCATTTATTAGCATCGAACATTTCAAACGCTTGTAATGTTTGTTTGAATAAACAAATTTACTTACTGCGAGTTCTACGTGATTGCGACATCCCTCGGTAAACTAACGTACGATCATTTTTCGTTTCTCAGCCGTTCTCAGCGAGCAAATAATCTGAAGTAGTCTAGATAACGGAGCAGTGTTCGCTTCGCCAATCATGGTGAACTTTGGATAAATATTTATTGTGTTTAGGGCTTGGTTTGAAATGCCAGTAGTTCGTTAATTCCTATTTTTGATTGGTTGTTTACATTCAATGTCATAAATAATAAATATCCGATAACAGAGAATTTTAAAACAGTTTTACTGCGATCTGTTTACATCCATTAATTTGGAACTGGGTATTTTTGTCTTTTCCCCTAGAATTCACAACGCGCAGTAAAATTAAAGGTATCAACTTCAAACTTTCCCTGAACATTAGAATACTGCGATGTATTTAGGTCTCTACGAGTAAATTCCTTAAAGAAGGGGATTAAAGCTGACTTCAGATTTTTAATAATTTACTCAAACATGTCTGAAAACCTAATGCTTCATTGTTTTATGCACAAGAACAATTTATTTTACTATGAAGAAAATATTTTTGAATTTCAATTTCATTATTGCAATTCCGAAAATAGCCCGAGGCTAAATTCTCAAAAGTACCCATAAATTCTCAAAAGGACCCAGATTTTGGATCGGTAACGTTAGGTTAAAAGATGTCAAAGAAGTCACTGAAATTGCATGTTCAAAAGAAACGGGATAAAGAGTACGAGATATTGTACAGCAAGCTATTGCTTTTAAGGCACAACTCGATCATTTGAAGAAAGTTTCGAAAACATTTCAGTCCACTGATAGCAAACTCTAATTTGATGACGGGTTTAATTCACGATCTTGCACCCGGTGAAAATGTCAATTGAAAATGTAAATTAACTTTCACCATTAAACGTTTGAATTACACTAACTGTTCATTGATTGACCGCAAAACAGAATATTCAAGATTTCCAGGATGACCGAGATCGCTTTCGGGATAATTACAGGTTTGATTTCAGGCGAAGATCGAGAGTTCTAAAGAAAACTAAGTGCATCAGATGGCTGCATGTGGAATAATAGTAATGATAATAACAATGACAATAGGAATATTGTTCTTGCCAAAAGCCAGTAGAATTTAAATTCTGAAGTTACCCGTGATATTTGTATTTCCGTCCATGAATGAATCTAACGGAGCTCTAACAGGACGTCTTTTCATCCGCTGACTCAGGTGAACTCATTATAAAGGTTGATCTAAATGGAAAGATGCCATCAGTACAACTTTAGGTTGGGAATATTCATAGCTAATATCTTATCTTCTTGTTTAGTGTTAACTCTTGAGATCAGACAACTGCACCTGAAATGTTTCTCCTCGAGAAATACCCTAAAATCCTGTACGAATTTGTTTTGGTTTGCTTGTCGATTTGCATTTATCATAATGCATCCAAAACGCTAGATATAGAGACTGACTCATTTTTTAAAGCAATCAACTTTGAAAATGTCGAGTAAACAATAGATTCGGTTTATCTAGATTTGTACAACTTGCTGATCATAACGTACCACAACCAAATGACGACTGTACTTACTTATTGCTTTCCTAATTGAACTTTGCTGTGTTCCGCCGATTTCGTTCACTTATTGATTAATCTCAAGCGAATTAAAAATTGAGCTTTGCGTGGCGGTACACAATGACTTTTCGATAAAAACATCTTTCTTCATACATTGTAAAGAAAATGCATTCCACAGAAATCTATCATCAGTAAGGTGTTACCTTTGCTTCGAGTAGAAAATTGTCAACCAGCTCAAGAGACTAAATTTCGTAATTTTGGTTCCTTGAGAACGATTACATTTCTTGGCTGAACTTTGACAAAACCTTTGGTACAAATAACCGTTTATTTAAATGTCGATTGGTCTATGAACGGGTAACAATAAGAGACGACAATGGTGGGTCCCTTTGTGAACTCACCCAGATTTGAACAAAGCAAAGAACAAAGCCAGACTTATGCTCGCCACAAGCTTCTCTCATACCTTGCATAGTTTCTAGTTTACGCAGAGTAAGAAAAAATAAAACTGTCTTGAAGCAGTACAAAGATGTGATAAAATTGTACGATAAAAAGTCATAGGCTGTTTGTTGCATGTTTAAAGGGTATAACTAGCAAAAAAGTGATGTATGTCTGAATCTTTTCAGTGGATTTGAATTTCTATTTGAGTTTCATAGTTTCTGTTTTTGTGGGTTTATTCCAAAACATCCCGCAAGTTTATTGCTGTGTCACGTTTCAGGATGTGTAAGTCTTGCATAATTCGTCTGTTTATAAAAAGAAAAACGCTTCAAATTCCTTTCATTTTATTTCCCATAAGTTAATCGGGTTATGACCGGTCCATGATGCTCAGTGGGTGCTGCAGTTTTAAGCAGGAGTAGTAAACAAATTGTGCCATTCCTGTGATTTACGGTGACAAACCTTGGGCTAAATTTCTGTAAAAGGTACCACTTAGTTAGAGTCCCCTTTCTTTTTGTTATCATGAATTTTTTCCTCCAGTGTCTATCATTTTGTATACAGGCTCTCTTATTTGAATTCGTGCATGCATAGCTAAGTCCGCACAGCTTCGCCGGCAGTTGGTCAGGTACATCATCATCCAGTGATGTACGAAACCTGAAATCCTTACGTTCTTGCTGTGACCCAGGATGTGTTACAATGATACCTTCTTACTTATGTCATGAGCGAAGTTTGATTCAACTCGGAGTTCTTAAACACTTAATTTTTATATTTACGTACAGTTGTTAAATGTTAAAAAATCAGTAACCGTCAACGACATCGGTCGCTTAGTTATCAGTGAAAAGTAGATGATACACATAAAAATCGCGGTTCCATTTGCTTTCGTCAGATTTAAAATGCTTCCCGTTTAGAATTAGAAACAACAGTATTCTTATACACGGCGATTTCGAAAAATGTTTGTGTACTCTGAAAAAATAGAAAAGATACCCATTGCCGCCTAAATACAAGATGCCAAATCGTGAGCTGGATTCTGTTATTGCTGCTTACCTGCTTGCCAACTACACTTTTCTCGTTTCCAGAAATAAACTCCCAGTATGAACTTAACTCCTTCAAATCTTGATTTCTCTTCCGACAACAGAGATCGGAGTTACTTGAAAAAGGCGAAACGATGAGCTCATAACTCATCCATTTCGTTCAATTCCCCGTATGAAAAAGTTCTTTTGAATTTCAAGCTTTTATTGTAAATATTTAAATTTTACTGTTGCCTTGTGTTTTGCGCCTTCATAGGCCTTTGTATATTCCCCTGATAATTCACTGAACAGTCCTTTTGTCAAGAATATTGAATTTCAAAAGACCAGGAGGTCAGACAGTCCAGTAAAATGCAAATTAAACTGAGCTGGAGGGGGATGATGCTCATCATCATCACGAACCAAACTATTTCGAAAAATCAACCGCCCCAGTAGATTAAAAAGTCGAAAGCTCCTCTTACATTTGGATATTCAACATCTTCTTGCTTTTTACCGGTGCAGAGAAATTAGTCAGATCGACACATGACGAGGCCGGTTAGGACACAGGGTGCTTTTCTATTGTGTGTCGTTAATTCAAAATCGGAGAAATCACAACAGTCAATCAGAGAAAAGCACAGCATCATGTACAAACCAATGAGAATGCTAAACAAATTCATGTCAACTCCCCGAACGCGGGAAAACGCGGCCATCAAGTCGCCACTGGTCTTTTATTTTTGTATCTCACTGATTCAGAGAGTGATGCGAATTGTTTCAGACCAATCACAGTGCGAGGTTAAGCTCTCTCGAAAGAAAGCAGTCGCCCTTGAAAGCTGAAAAAATGTCCTTCTCTTCAATTAGGCCTTCCCGGGAACGACCCTCGAAGGAGTCTCGAATAGCTACCGTTTTACAATCATTTGGGTACAGCAGATTTACTGCAAGAGTATTGCGACGGATTATGGTGAGACAAAGTTTGTCTTTATCAAAATACAAGAAAACACAAATGACATTCTTCGAAAGTGCTAGCGCCCGTTTCTGAAAAGTGTTATTACACAAGATTTATCGGAAAGCGTTGTGGTTACGCGTGGTGTCTCGCCTAACGCGAAGGTCACGCGAGCGTAACGAGTACCTCCCTGAAGTTCGCGAATCCGGAGAAAACGTCAACAAATGATTTGAGTTTATCTTACAGTATAAGATGTCAAGACAGGTGACAGCATAAACTTCCGTTCCAGCTGTCGCTTAAGCTTATCTTCCTATAATTATTCCTTTGGGGATAATTGAGGAAACTCTTATGTCAGTATTTGCTTTCGTGGATGTGACCCAAAAGTTAGCTACTTAATTTTGGGAGATGAACAAGTGAAAGCTTTCCACAATATTAAGTTAGGTGTCCGTTAATTACTTGTTAAGTTTGGTAACCTCGCTTGGTCAGATAAACCTAAAAGTTTATTATCTGTAACGGACGATATTTCTTTGAGAAAAAAGAAAGGATTTTTACAATCGAAAAATATCTCAAATTCTTTCCCTGTAGTTATTCCATTTTTTTTTAAAATGGATTTCTGATCAGGTGAACTTCTAATTACGAATTAAAACACTACTCTGGTTTTGAAATAGAAATTACCAACGTCTCACAACAGACTTTATGACGAGGATACGTATACAGAGAAAAAAACGAATTTTTGATAAGAGGAAAAAAACGAATTTCTCCAAAGATAGCCTTTTTTCCTAAAAGCTAAATTGTTACATTTGCTTACGAAGTTTGCGGTTTTGGAATATGTAGTTGAGCAATGTTAACGAAACGAGCAGGAGTTTCTTCCTGCTTGAATACATGTTCTGCTCTGTGGATTTCCTTCATTTGAAAGCTTAGAACGCTGAGAGTTGAAAGAGACACATCTCTAACTGAATATCACCCACAGATCAATTTCGGTACTAATGACAGATCATTCCAAATAAAAGTACTCGATGCTTACGCCAAAGACACGAAAAAGTTATCTTAGTTCATTTTTTCCTCGGACATGTGCCTGGAGCGATAATTTAATCATGTTGAGTATATCACGTTTTTCTTATCAGATCGAGATGCACCGATTTCGCAATATTCAAGAACACTTACCGCGCATGACCGGCCACGAAAGGCACGATTCAGTGATCGGCAGGTTGTTCAGTGAAGCAAGCGTCGGAGCAAGCTACTCGCACGCAACTACACTAAATGGTTTTTATTTGGACCAATAGTTTTGCGTTTTGCTCTACTTGGATGGCGTCATATATTTAATATCCACGTTTTATTTTGCTTCCCCTGTTTTTTTTTTTCATATATCTCGACCACCAGTTGTTTCTATAAATACGTTCTCGAAGTCGGAAATAGCGGAACGTGCGTAATTTCATTTGTTGCTTAGTAGCGCCCCCTCCAATGCAATTCACGTATGGACAATTTTCCCGCCCTTTCTTATCATCTCTGCGTACTTTCTTCGCCTTAATTCGAGCAGGTTTTTTTCTTTACAGCTTTGTTCAACAGCGAGTGTCTGGTCTGCTTATAATTTTGTACTTTATTGTAATTTGTCCGAGTGAAAAAGGTTCTTGCTGTTTAGTGCCTTAAAATCGGCAACAGTAACCAATAGAATATTACAGATGGATTGTGTTAAGAATTAATTATTGATTGACTCATTCTTGTTCCGCTGTAATGAATGATTTTAACTAGTTTATTTTTGGAGGAAAACGATTAACTAAACTTCCCACGCCAACACATACATCATGTCACGGATACAACTTCTCTGGAAGTTTCGACGAAAATACGCTTAGCGAGCGACTAATATAGAGTAAACATGTCTCTGCAGGAATTATCAAGAAACAAAGACGCCAGGTATATTGTCTAGTCTCACAAGTTTACCTCAGTTCGACGAGACATATGAAATTTCAGATAATGAAATTGTAGTTTGGCTAATGAAAGCAAACAACTCTTGAACTTCCGACTTCTTCCTTATTAGGGAATTGTCGTCAGACGTAACGAACCATGAATGCCGTGTCGTGCATTGCTCGGGAATTGCGTCCTTTGTTTCTAATTTCAGAGATAGCATTCCGAAGTGTTACGTTGTTTTTTCTATAGAAGGACGTTTTAAGTAAGGATTTATCAAAGAAAATGTTTAAATAATAAAGGAAGCCAATTTCACGTACAATCTTCGTTTTGAATTTGAGTTCTCTTTTTATTCTTCCCGACCTTCACCTTGTCGAGTTCTTCTTAAAATACGATTCCTCGCTGTTGATTGGTAGAAAATTGCTTATGTAATATGAGGTCATGGTCTTTCGCGCTGTATTGCTAAGATAAACAAAGGAAGGCAGCGCCTCTGCGGTTGAAGGTATCACGTACAGAAACGAACGGATGCGCTTTGTTATATACACAAGACCCGGACCGGTTGATTGAAAAAAAATGGACCCGCCATCAAAAGACATTTTTAATGTGTTGGATGAATTCATAGCCGCTGTCGAGGAAACTAAACAAGTGTTACAAAGTCCGAGCGTTCCCGGGAAAACAGATGCCTGCTGTTTGTGCGAATGTGCGCGACCTCGAAGGAATAAAGCTTTCATTCACGATCGTTGTGATTGCGAACTGCTTCAGTCTCATTTAATGGGACCCGCAGGTGAATTACACAGATATGGCAATAAACGCGATCAAGCATTGTTTTTTAACCAGCGTTCTTCTCGAGAAAAAGAAGCTGAAGGATTAGTGACTGAAATGAATTCGCTTCTGAACCAGATATCCAGCGCAGCGAATTCTTTGAAAAAAATCTACCATCGACGATCTTCACCAGTGATTGAGGACATATAACATTTTTCCTACTTCGGAATGGTGTGGGAGACTGCGGTGAAAATGCAGTATGCGCCGAGTGGTTTAAGCTCGGCTCTGGAGAATAAGAACGTGCATATAACAAATATTATTGAGGGTACTATTAACGCAAATATGGAAGTGAAATCTGTCCCTGGTTTCTTCACTCTGAATACATGCCAACGCTCAAATATTCCTTCTGCTGAATCCATTGGAGTCTTGAAAATCGAGTTAATGACTTATATCTAACGCCGTCGTTTGGAACTGTGATGAATATACTCGGAATGAAAAAATAATGCGTGATTTTACGCGCCCCTGTGCTTTCGTTTTCTTCCTCGCGTGTCGTATGCCACTCGCGGGAAGCTTTTGACAAAGGTTTTTTGCGCTTGAAATAAACAACGAAATACCGGTTATTTTTCACCTTTTACCACCTGTGGAAAGCACATTGTTGTAACTTTAAAACACAGTGGTAAAACGGAGAGAAATTTCCAATTATTTCTCATGAATTTTACATCACCTGTACGGCCCACAGTTGAGCGGATTCTCTATCGAGCGAGTAAACACGAGAATTCGATAATTATCTTGCTATTTCAAACACCAGAACGAGAGGGTTACGAAAGTAAAATTGGAAAATTATTAAGGATTGATAAAATTTGGACTTGTTTTGAAAACAAAAAAAAATTAAGTTAAAGATCAGAATTTTTTTATGCGTGTGTAGAAAAATACATTACGTAATTCTGGAAGGGAAAATTTTCGGCATAACGAAGAAGTCCGGTGAGTGTTATCTATTTACAAACCGGAAAATTCTTAGATTAAGTAGGGGTTTTAGACCAACCATATAAACAGAGAGTCAAAGGGAGAATTAGACTTTTTTATCAAGCACTAGAGAATCGCTCATGAATAAATAAAGTCAGCTTAGAAGAAGGTAAAATTATTATGTAAATATGTACAGGTTATGAGTAAACAGTCTTACATGAGATGTCAGAGTTACATTGTACATAAAGAGACACTTGTGTGAAACGATGAGAGATTAAAGACTGGTTAAGTGTGAAATAGTCTGTTAGAGCGATAACATGACTTTAAGGCAAGCTCTACGCACGAAAACATGGACATGACTTTACCGATACGAATACTGAATAGGTAACATTTCAGTTCTCAACCGATTGAACAAACTCTTTCATGTTGTTCCTTGTTCATTTTCTCTACCGACCAAACAAACTTTATTCTGTGTTGATTGCGGAAGTAAGAGGGAAAAGTGCAGCCAGTGTGACTACTAGACCAAGGTTGAGCCATGAGCCACATGTTTCTTTGTCGAGGATAATTCACTCTTCGTTACATAACCACTTCATTGTAAGTGGCTACAAAGCGTGAATCTATTGATTTCCAGCGATAGGCCAGTATCGTGGAAATGTTTGCAATCTGGAGGCACAAATCCCAATTAGTTTTTTAGTGATTTGACATGATTTCAAGATCTTTCGGTTTGGGAACTCTTTCTTCCCAGAAACACAAATATTATAAAAACTGCCAGAAGTGTTCTTTTTCGACGTTAAATTGCACGCGAGTAAACAATAGAATGTCTGGAATACGTGCGAAACATTTCTAATCAACTGATTCTAAAAAGCTCGTTGATCTTAACAAGAATTTTCTTCACGGGGAGGGAAAGATCCAAAAACACGATTCCAGCTGATTATTGGAAAGAAATCAAGTGTAAATCGCAATCTCACAAGGCATTGTTACCTTATCACTTCAGCAGACACCTGCCTTTTATTCCACGTAAATTCTCGCGCTTTACGCTCCCACGCGCGCCTAAAGCGGCTTCAAGGAAACTTCTACTTGTCACCCACTTCAGAGGCAAGTGGTTTTTTACCTACTTTAGCAAAGCGTCATTATCTGCAGATGAACTAAAAGAACTTGAAGAACGTTTGGCTCTCATGGAGTCAAACTCTTATTCGTCTCAACTCGTTCAGGACCATGCCTTGATGATCCTCGTGGATAATACGTAACTCCGAGCGCGTCAGGCATCTCTCGCTCTGGCACGGGTATTTATGAAATAGCTGAGATGTAAGGAGCGCCCTGATTGGTCAAGAGCTGGTTCTTTAATTGCAAAGATTCACCCTTAGCTATAATTAGACATCGTTATATAAGCTGTATACCGCACTTTGTCTATTTTTACTGGACTACTAAAGTTGCGGGTGTTGGTAGAATACACGAACACACAATACACGAACAGTTAATAAATTTCTAGCTTTCTGGCTTTTTTATGTAATATACTCCAGCTGCATCAAACAATATCAATTATTTATTACAAGAGGTTAGATGAATATAATGATAAAAATAAGTAAAATGACAGAAAACTTGCTTTGTGGTATCTGGCCCTATAACCTACCTTATTCCTCATTCGCTTCGACGAAGGGCTAACGCTCGAAACGTCAGCTGAGAAATCCAATTTATATCATCGACTGAGTTGTTAAAATCAACTTATCTTATTATAGTGTCTTGTTTGCTTGTTATAAGCCGTCCCTTGGGAACAACCGACATATCAGATAACTCTTTCCACCGCACGTGATCCCGGCCTCAATATTCCGAATATAAATATAGAGGCAAGACCGATACAACGTAGATAAGTTTTAAACCGGAGCACTATATTACGTCAATTCCCACTGCACCTGAAGAAGGCTGGTTTGGCCAGCCGAAATATAGTGCTCCGGTTTAAAACTTATCTACGTTGTATCGGTCTTGCCTGTATATTTATATTCGTTATTTTGGGCCGATTAGATCACTGCTGATCCAGCGTACTAAAGTAGGATTATCGTCCACGGTTGCTTGCTGAACATTTCACTTTCTCAATATTCCACTCACTCTGCTGTGGCAGGTACCAAGAATCTTGCATTTAATACATTAAAAAAGGCACATCAGGTAAAGAGGGAAGAAAAAAGACGGCAAGGGAAATAATTCATGGGATAGGCCGAGGTGTTGACGAACGTGTCATTCGAAACAGATGTACAGTATGACCATGCAGTTATTCACTGACTGGTGCTCTCTGAAAACTGCGAAC